TGAAGTATTGCTCTAGAAGAAAGATCTCTGAATGTCATCAGTCAATATTTAAAGTCAACCACTTTATTGCGAAATCGTTTTATTTTCTGAATACAACTTTAAATTACAACAAAAGACAGTTGGTATATATAAGAACTCTCGTCTAAATTGGAGCGAATAGTTTCACAGTATTTTAGCGCCGAGTTGATGTAAGACATTAAATAGGAATAATATATTTGTAAAATCTCAGCGAATGACAGTTGGTGGCGAAAAAAATATCTCCAAAGTATATGGACTGTCACTATAAGATTCCTTCTTATTGGTTATTTCCTTACTAGTGAATGGTTACCAGGTAAACTTCTTGAAATTCTAGTGAAAGACATGATCTATGTGATAAACCAAATCAAGTGTGATGTAGTAACTCATCAATGATATTGAATGAACGCCGTATGATCTTACACAGTAAATGAAATTAATGACAAGTGAATTTCAAATCAGTAGTTTTAAGACATCATATTTGTTGTAAAATCTGATATTTCTTAGTTCATTCCCATAAAAGATAGTGGTTACAAAGTGTAAATTACTTTTAGTACTCATCAACTTTCACCGATTAGCCTCAATTCGGGACCAGAAGGACCACTGTAATATATTATTTTCAGTTAGATACTTTACAGGTTTGAAAATACCTTTTAAAAACCTACATACTTTAATACACATCTACATTCGTATATATGTGTACTGGCAAATGGACACATCAAATGTCAAACCAATCACAACAATATCAGTCACTGATAATAGTAATAGTACTGTACTGAACAAGAACACGACTGAGGACAATCGAATGCATTTTAGCGCAACATTACAGAGTATCTCATTAAAATATGAGAACCATATAGCGAATAGTTAATTTGCAAAATAACAATCAATTGTCTCAATTTGACTGTTTCTTCTGCAAATATTCGTCTATAGTCTCCGATTATAATTATTCATGCATTTTCGTACTAATTGTGTGCCGTTCCCGTTCTCTCCTTATCGATCTTCTACTGAAACACATTCAATGCTCAACCATCACCATATACTACTTATGTGGATATCAGCAACCCATACCACAGTACGAATTTTATTATTGAACTTAATCATAACACCGGTATAATAATAATAACCATAATAATAATAATAATAGTAATCGTAATGCAATTATACATTTATTATTATTATAAGTATCATTCTATTATGATGATGAAGCAAACAAATATTTCAACTTTCGTTGCAGGTTGAAGCTCAAAAATATAGCTTAAAGTCATGTCATCCTAAATATCGAGTAGGATAAATTGGCACTCTTAATTCAAGTGTAGTTGAAAAAGACGGTGAGAAGTAGGGAACAGCAATGAAATTTAGAGTTGATCCTCCCTCCCCAATGCAAGTATACTGATATCTGTTTCTATAAAAATGGTTATTTCAAGAGAAATATTAGCTTATCTAACTAATATCACACTCCATAATACTGAGCAAACGGAACAAAAGCATATTGTCAAATGAGGCAATTCATTATCAAGTAATAGTTTGAATGAAATACATTAAATCGGTACTACAGTTCCACCACAACAATATGATGCAACAGAAGAATTCCAAACATTCTTAAAACAGCATGAAATTAAAGTATACTACAAAACAACTAACATATTTCGAAATACTTTAGTTCGCTTAAAAGATGAACTACCCTTTACGTCAACACAGAATTGCGTCTACAAATAAGATTTGTCGATTGTGATGTCTTCTACATTGAAGAATCACCTCATAAAATCTCGACTCGAATCAAAGAACATCTTAGGTACAAACACAAACCATCTAATAATCCTTTGAAATTTGAAAGACTGAAAATTAGATCGACAATAGAAGTAAACACCAACTTCAATGTTTATCAAATCGATATTAAAACTAAAATAATTTTTTAACTATAAAGAAATATGATTATTTAAAGTATTGCATAGATTGTTAAATACGACTGTCCTAAATAGAAAAGAAGACCTCATTGACTATCTGACTTGGATCATCTATCTATCAACATCTCATGCCATTATCATATAAAACTTCAACTCTACCTTTTAACATTACGAATTTCACATTTTTTCATACATATTCATATACATACGGATACATATGAATAGGTCTCATATATAATCTAACTTGACTGGAACGATAGATTGTTGACTTTTTTTGTTGTTGGTTTTATTGAATAGTTTTACTCTGTTTCTTTGGTTTAATCTAAACTTTGGTTAATTTGATTTATTGATTTATTTATTCTTTGAAGAACAGGCTCACATTGAACCATGAAACCGTAGAAAATTTTTTTTCTATTTATTATGGTAGTACAAGTATGTCATTAGTTAGTTTGTTTTTTTCGTGGTTTCTTATCAACTGTATACAACCTAAATACCGTACAATGAACACATTAAATGATTGTTATGACTTTTTTTTTAAAAAAAAATAGGCCGTATGCCAATTCGTTATGGTTTTATGTCCGGTTTGTTATCACGTGATTTATTCACTAATCGGAATACGATTTGTTTAATCTTAGCACTGTACCAAATCAATGACGTTCGATCGGTATGAGCAGTCTAGCGTCTTTATTGGTCTCTTGTCCGCCTAGCCCTTCCAATTGAGTGCAGAAAGACCGATTGCAGCTTCTGGTATGCGAATCATTTATTTCAAGCATACTCGGTGTATATACCAGACAGACAGACTACATCACACCATAAAATATTTGTGCAAGATCAAGTCAAATGTGATTGTGAACGTGGAAGACAATAATCAATAAACTGAGCATAATTTAGGAACAGTAAATCGTATAATAATAATTCATAGATCAAAATGAAGTTAATAATAAGATGAATATAGATATACACAATCTAATTACTCAATAGTTAAACAATAAGAATATATATAAAATAATAGTCCATTAAAGGGTCCTGTGAGTTACTCGTACTTATGTCTTCATCAAGATATAACAATCATAATATTGGAAATACTCTCAACAATGAAGATTAATATAAAGAGAGTGCTATATCCCGTCGAGAATTATGAATCGTAACTTTGAGAACTGTTTATGAACCAATATGAAACGTATATAATCTATTGTATAACTGCAAAGTAACTTAACTATTCATGTTCATGTTCCTCCTATTATAAGCCCTATTTTGATCCATAGATTATTACTGTACTATTTACCATTCCTGAGTCGTACCCAGTCTATTAATTACTGTTCTCCCTATTCACAGCCACATTTGGCCAAATCTTGTACAAATGTTACTTTTTATTTTAAGGTTACGATGTGGGTTTTTTTTGGTATATAAACCCAGTATGTTTGAGAATAATGATTCATGTTGCAGAGGGTGTTATTGGTGTTCTGGACTTGACTGTCTGAGCTAGGCAGACAGCAGGACTGATAAGTACTCAAGACTGCTCATACGGCTTTTTTGTATCATTGCTCTTATCGATAATTCACTCTCCTCTAATTGGCGATCTTATCAAGTTATATATTAACAAGGCACGCACTCACTCGATATAACAAAGAGTAATAAATATGTAGAAAGCTAAAAGTGACGTTTAATTGTTAAATAGTGTGAACAACTAAGAGCATAGAATCGGAATTATTTGGAGATGAAATTAAAAATCAATTTTATGGTTATATATTACGGGAAACATAAAATAAGATCGACTAGCTGAGTACTGATAAGACATATAGTATAAAACTATAATTAGTGTCATAGAAAAATAGTGTAACAAATGTATGTAATTTTCATAGTTGAAATCATAAGTCAATTAATACTAGACCACCAAGGAAAACCTGGAAGCACTGGAAAACCGTTTCGTCCTACTGTGAGACTCCTCAGCAGTACGCATCCACGACCTCACCTCGCGAGATTCAAACCCAGGATCTACCAGTCATCATAACAAAGCAAGAGTGATATTGAATCGCTTTTGGTCTTTTCAATGTAAACTCATTCAGTAATACATGGCAAATTTGACTTCTATAATTTAGAAATTAACATGAAAGAATTTGAAATGTCAACATCAGGTCCACTATCAAGGAAAATAGCATGTAATTGCATGGTCAGAAATATTCTTCCCCTTTTAGTCTAAGCTACCGTGAAATGTGCTCAAATGTACTTGATATGTTACTTTTTCATGGATCTATTTCAAGTTATATAAATCTAAACTAAATTATAGCCACTTTCTGTAACCAGTAACTTCAATTTCATGTAGAAACAATTGTACAGTGGTTTCCTTTAGTTCAATCAGAATAATACTCTGATAGTTTCCTTCTATTTATTTTACTTTTAATTCTGATACGATTTGGAATACAGAACAATCACTTGGTATTGTTGTTTGTTTGAATCTTCCCATTGTTATTTATGACTGCAATTGATCAGTCTCTTATTGGCATATATCCATCCTGTGCGTATTGCCTCGATATAGCCTCAATTCACAAGCATTATAAGCAAAGATGGATAGTGACTAGCAGTGGAATTCAGGACGTGCTTTTCGTCCCATTTGCGACAATACCAAGTGAACTAAACTTCACCCGATTTCACAAGCAGGTGGCTGTCATGATTCAGTAGCTGAGTAGGTAACGCGATGACGTTTAAAGCAAATGGTACTGGGTTTGAGTCCCAGAGTGAACATCAACTCTCAGATGCAGGTACATCCAGCTGACAAGCCCAAAATAGGACGAAACGCGCGTCCTGGATTTCACTGCTTGCCACTATCCATCTTTGCTCATACAGAACAATCGTTTCAGAACAAAGGTCGTTATATAATAGAATTATTAAAAGTCCACACACAAATAATCTGATTCATGAAATCAAAGTTTAAAGTTAATTCATGATATGTGCAATCAAATGGTTCATGTCTAGCATAACCTTATCTATAACTAATGTGATTGGATATTAAACAAGTCATTATTATTGACCTTGAATAGAAAACCAATCAGCAATAGATAGCCAGTTTTAAAAGACAATAGAAAGACAGTTGTTGTTTTCTTTTCTTTTCTCTTTTTTCACCTTGCATAACAACACGAAATTTCAAATGATAACATTATTTAACCTTTATATTGGATATAATATCGGATAGATCAGGATTGAATCCTTTCTATTAACAAGTTAACTGATTTCTTATAGAATAGAAAATTCTATGTTGCATACCTAATGTAAGTATAGATTATCTATCACCAGTTTATTATTTATAAGATTTTATGTTTAACTTTGTTTATTGTATTTTCTATTTACTGACTTGAAAAGTCATATTAGGGATATAGTTTTAAACTAGTTTACGTCAATTTAAAACTTAGAAATGATATGATTATTATCAGAAGGGGTTTTGTGGAGATTTCAGTATTTTCATAGTTGAAATGATGAGTCAATTGAAGCTAGACCACGATGGAAAACCTGAGACCACTGGACGGCCGTTTCGTTCTATTATAGAACTCTTTAGCAGTGTGCATCCACGATCCCGCACTCGCGAGAGTCGAACCCAGGACCTACCAGTGTAGCGCCGGAGCACTTAACCAGTAGTGGGAAGCAGTGACCAGTAGAGTTCAATCAAGTCTGTTGGAGAGATATCAACTCGCTGAAGACAATTGGTGAACGGTTGCTCAAACATCGTGGATTGGTTGAAGTTAGACATTAACACCGTTGGATGTCGGCCGGCTCAGTGGTCTATCGGTTAAGTGCTCTGGCGCGAGACTGGTACGTCCTTGGTTCGAATCTCGCGAAGTGGGATCGTGGATGCTCACTGCAGAGGAGTTCCATAATAGGAGGAATCGGTCGTACAGTGCTTCGAGGTTTTCCATGGTCGTCTAGCTTCAATTGACTCATGATTTCAATTATGAAAATATATGTAATATCCCGATGAGTAGAAAAATTAGATCTTCTGACATTCCATGACTCAGTGTAAGCCACTTCTTTAGATAATAAATAACTGAATCAAAGTTAATCCAAGTTTAAATAGGACAAAGGAACAACGTAAGAATATTATCTGCGATCAAGCAAAAAACAGGTCTGAACAAGTTAATGTGATGTCATTTCGGTCAAGGTGATTTATAAACGACATGTTTGTAAATTGGAGTGTGTGTGTGTATGTGCGCAAGGTTAGGGATGAAAAATGTGACCATTATGGTGAGAAAGGATAGAGTTTAATTTGTATGTAAGATAATAGTGTGAAATGTGAATAATATCAGATATGGTAGCTAGAACAGATAGTCCAAGTCGGATGTATAATGAGGCCTTCTTTTCTATTGAGAGCAGTAAGATTGAACATTATATAGAGAACTTCAGTTACTCTCCTTTCTTTGTAGTTAGGATAACCCTTTTGTAATAATAATAAAGTGATAGATTGCTCACATTATTGTCACATATATACATCTCTTAATATCTTTTAAGACTTATCATTCTCCTTAATATTAATCTCTACGTTGTAAGCGGTTGATAAGAAACCACGTGGTGAAATAGTTTCATCTTATACTGTAACATTTTTTCCTGCTTTCTTTATTCAGCAGTACTGGACAACTGATTACCATCCAAATTGATTTTACTTAAAACTATTTGAGTAATTAAGTGTTTGCAAGATGCTAAAAACTTTTAATTTCAACATTCTTTTAAGCAAAAATCATGGGTCAATTGAAGCTAGACCATCATCGAAAACCTAGGAGCACTGAACGACCGATTCCTCCTATTATGGAACTCCTCTGCAGTGCGCATCCACGATCCCACTTCGCGAGATTCGAACCCAGGACGTACCAGTCTCGCGCCAGAGCACTTAACCGATAGACCACTGAGCCGGCCGACATCCAACGGTGTTAATGTCTAACTTCAACCAATCCACGATGTTTGAGCAACCGTTCACCAATTGTCTTCAGTGAGTTGATATCTCTCCAACAGACTTGATTGAACTCCACTGGCCACTGCTTCCCACTAGAACTCTCCACAAACCTTCCTCTGATCTAAAAATAAATAAACAAACCTATAATTAGCATTACTTATATGTAATGATGGATAATGGCTAACAGTGAAATCCACGAAGCGCGTTTAGTCCTATTTGGGACTCGTCAGATGGATGTACCTGCATCTCAGAGTTGATATTCACTCTGGGACTCCAACCCAGTACAGTTCTCTACAAACGCCATCGCGTTATCCACTCGGACACTGAGTCCTGAAGCGAAAGGTACTGGGTCCGAGTCCTAGGGTGAATATCAACTCTGAGATGCAGGTACATCCAGCTGACGAGTCACAAACAATACGAAACGCACGTCAAACTGGATTTCACTGCTGGCCACTATCCATCATTTCATATAAAGCTTGTGAATCAAGGAAATATCGAGGCAATACGCATAGTATGCACATATGCTAATAAGAGACTGACCAGTTGGAGTCCTAAATAACAATAGGAAGATACAAGTAAACAACACCAAATGAATAGAATTACTTATGACTTGAACTCATTTTTATAAATAGTTTTTGAGTAGAATTGATTTAAACCGATAATGTAAAATCCTATTGATCTAGGCAACCAAAATGACAAATAACCTTGGATAACCATTCATAAATTCTATATTTCTATCATTTACCTAGTTTTAAATTGAATTTAAATTTAGGGCAAAGAAAATTTCTAAGGGTATATATGATATTGATTGAAGTGATTATTTTTTGAAAATGACATACAAACAGCTGAAATCCCACTTGATTCTTATTGTTTGTTAAGTTAAGTGGAGTTCAACCACATCTGTTGTGAGATAGGAACTCACTGAAGACAATTGGTGAATGGTTTGCTCAATGTTGTGCTAAGTTATTAATTAAGAAGACTAAGGTTATTAAATTTCGAACTATCTGATTGAACATGAACTTGTTAAAGAAAAGTTTAAACCAGACAAATGGGAACATAATAGAATAGGGGATATAATGAGTAAAGCATAGACTACACTATTCCCACGGTTTGTTCAATGTACAAAAATTTTTTCGAAACATAATGGTTGTTTAAATTATAGTTGGGTGAAGGATTTAATTAACCCTATTATTTGACCTAGAATAATTTTATACAATACTAAAATGGTTGATTTGGCAAGTGTCCTATGATCTAATTCAACTCTAAGGAAGGCTAAATTGAAAGACGGTTATTTATCGTGACCTTTTAGTGGAATATTTTTGGTAGCAATTCGGGTAGGCACATGTTGAACTCACCCCATTTATCAAAGCATCTCAACTAGTTAATATGCAATCAGGTTGTTTGAAATGCAACGTCTTAAGACATTACATAGTTCTGATGTACGTTGTCTTCTCATTACATCATCTAAATGTATCAACTGAGAATAATGGCTTAAAATGTTTCTTCACAATTATTCAACTAAGACAACTGAAATGCTAAACTAGTAGAAGTTCTAGAAATACTAACTGATTTATTCCTCCTGAATAGTGATTCAAACTAACACATTCTCACAGATAATAGGTTCATACGCCATTTGTTCCTTCAGGATACTGCAGCTCATGTGCACCAATGGTTTCGAATCAGGGTTTTCAAACTCCTCTAGGTGGACTCTCCATATCCACCAACTCGCTTAAAGCGCCGGAAATTCGCTTTCTATCCTCTCAACTTTTTAAACAACACACGTGGTGAGAGAAGGCAGTGAGTACGACTTCCCTGACATAGGCATGGTCGTGTGAGAGCATTTCGAGATGGAGATAGGACTCTCTCCACTCTCGTCTGTACCAGGGAATTTGGGGGCAAACATTTAATCTGATAACTTGCTCTACTAAATAAAACATATTCTTGGCATTCTTCAAAACAGTTCATGACTATACACATAAACTTAGAGTTTACAATGTAAATACAAAGACTCATCATATATAACGATGAGATGACCAGACTAAATGGAATGAAAAAGTAAACATTGCTACTCACCATCTGTCCATTTACTATAAAACATGATGATAAAGACTTTTCTCTACTTCATTTATTCATAAGTCAATATATAAATAGTTGTTTACAAATACTGACATTCTTATTCTATGTTCCTTTTAGAAGAATCACTTATTTGTTTTTCTCTTGAAAGTTACTTTAGTGATTCTATGTATAAGTATGGTCATGGAAACGGTATATTAATAGTAGTAATGATGATAATGGTATTATTATTATTATTATTATTAGTAGTAGTAGTAGCAGTAGTAGTAGCAGTAGTAGTAGTAGTAGTAGCAGTAGTAGTAGTAGTAGTAGTAGTAGTAGTAGTAGTAATAGTACTATAGGAAGAACTATATTTTGTTTATGAAAACATTATTGATTTTTTTTCCTGGGAAATATTGTTCAAGAATAAATTATAATAGAAAAACAGATGTATTCAAAGTGTGTGTCACTATTTTCCAAAATGGAGTTTGAGTGTGAGAATAGTAAAAGTAATCAAAGCCTAGTTATATTAAAAAGGGTTACTTTTTCAACAGAAGAGGTATAGTAATTATTTTGAATTGTACTAATATTAATCTAATATCAATTTAATTTTAAGAAAAAAAAAGACCCAGTTGATTTCAATACCTTGATCAAAATGTTCACTGTTTTTAGTATAATTTAGCTTTGGGATAAATATTACTATGTAATTGAATGACTAAGAGATAGGGGATTTGTCCAGTATAACTTTTGATTTACAAAATTTTCAGGAAATCTAAAAAATGGGATACAGTAGACTAATAAGTCCTGGATTCGAATCTCGCGAGGTGGGATAGTGGATGCGCACTTCTAAGGAGTCCTACAATAAGACGAAAAGGCCTACCAGTGTTTCCAGGTTTTGAATGGTGGTCTAACTTCAATTGACTCATGATTTCAACTATAAAATTACTAAAATGTCCACAACACCCTCTTCTGATAATGGATTTTGTAAAATTATCATTAAATTTATATGTTTCTAGACGTGTCTATTCATTTTGTTCATTTAAGTCAATAGTCTGAGTTCCCTGTTTTCATGCATTACTTGATGAATTCCGTTTTTTTTCAAGGTGACAATTGCTTGACCAATATATACTAAGGGCATAGGTAGTGTATACCTGTAGTTCTACTAAGTAATGTCAAACCTAGTTTTTCTGTTGAATCCAATTTTATCAAAACTACATGTAAAGTTTCGCAAGCATGTAATACAATATCCCTTTTTTAAATGTCTAATTTGTCTGACTAGTTAACCTCACTATTATTTGGTTGATTGAAATAATCTGTGATTAGTGAACTACTTAAGTGATCAAATTCTCACAATATTCAGATCCTGAGTTTATGTTATGTAATCCTTGTAGGCCATTAAATGAATGAGTGTGTTCGTGTTTGATGATTAAAGACAATCTGCTTGAAAGACTAATATGACAGACATACTCTCCTATTAGTTGGCGTTCGTCATTGAGACCAAACCTAATCTTAAGGGAATGGATGTTTCATATGTGATTCAGACCCGTGTCATTCAGCTACACGGAATTGCCAACAAGCTATTCGAGTCGTAACTGACTCTTCGTCCTGTAAAGGGGTGACTAATTTAAATTTTTGACAAGTTCTAACGAACAAAAAGCTTAAACGTGAACACTGTTACTGATATTCTTCAAGCACATAATTCCCAAACTAGCTCACTGTAACTCTGAGACAATTAAACTACTGATCAAACAAAATTAAATTGTCTCTAAGGTTTAGATGAGCATATCATTAATTATTTAGTTATGATGTACATTTCATCGATAATAAATAACTATTTACCAGCTCACTACATATTGATGTATCAGGTTAGATTTAGAAAGTTCTACGTGACTGAAACGTCTGGTATGAGTGAAAGTCATGACTGTCTATTAGTCGAATAACATAAGTGTATTATTTATTTATTTTATTTGAACACAGATATTGGTAAAATGGGGCATCAAATACATATGAGTCACACAAGGCAGTTGATTTGTGTGTGGGCTACGATACTTCCCGGGTGCCCAAATCGAAGCAGGTGGTTTACTGAGGGGGCCACACTATTATGATCCACAAGACAATGGAGCACTGTTAGGAGATGCAGTCCTATGGTAGCTAATGACAGATACGCCATTTGTTCCTTCAGGAACCTGGAGCCCATGTGAATCATTGTTTTGGAATCAGAGTTTTCCAACTCCCCTAGGTGGACTCTCCGTATCCACTAACCCGGTTAAAGCGCCGAATATTCTCTTTTCGTTATATTATATATTTTTATGTTCATTTCTTTAAATATTACAATAATTACTCAATGTCTAATATGTTTTACTATTTTGACTGGATTTCAGCTAATTAACTAGTTTGCACATAGAAAAGGCCAACTCAGGTAAATTTCCTTCGTTTGAGTAGATGTCGCTGGTCGACTCGAGAAAGTCAACACAAGATTGGCTGTGTAGAATGTCCTACTTATTACTTTCGTTAACCTATTTTTCAGAGTATCACTAGCCACATCCCCGTTGAATTGCAGTTTTATGTTAAAAAGGCTTTTTTCAAACATTTGAAATCTCAGACTTCTTTTATGTATCATACATGTACTTCTCAATGAACGCACTAGGGTAGCTGATCTCGGTCAGTGAGTTATTGATAAATTCTAGCTCCTGACTTAAAGTATCTACTGAATAGATCTTTTTTGCTCTACTAGTGAGGCCTCTAACCAAATTTCTCTTATATCGGATAGGTGTAAAGCTATAGAAGTGAGTATATTGGCAGGTAGAGAGAAAATTGGTTAAATGCTTCACTAGTAGAGCAAAAGAGATCTGTTCAGTAGATACCAGGTTCAGCTGCTCCTGTGGAGATAGCTATATCGGGCTTACTGCCAGTTAACCTAACCAACGAACGAGTAAACATCTACCAACATAGTTTGGCAAAGGCCAGATAAAAACAATACGCAGTTTTTCACTATTTAATTATTTACATACTTCTTATTACGTAATGATTTTAGTGTTTTGTGATCACTAGTCTAAGTCTATTTACCCACGTTTGACCTCCTATTTTCAAGGTTTAACTATTGATAAGACCTCTATTATCTTAATTTATTATTCTTACTACTATCGATACACTTGTACTTTTAATTATTGGGCTTGGTGACGTATTCTATTTCATTGTGATTATTGGCTCGAATTGCCCTGATTGGTCTAACATTTTCGTATTCATGTATATTAAAGTAAAGCCTAAAGATGATCTAATTGAAAACAATTGATGGTTTACATACGTTGTACTAAACATTTGATGTGATTTGTAATTGCACTATTATATCTCTCACTCTATCTGACCCATATTTATTCTGATCATGGATCATATAACCTGATTCAAGTAAACATACCATTATAAACAATTATATTCTATTTTTACAAGCATGATAAGCATAGATGGATAGTGACTAGCAGTGGAATCCAGTTTGATGCGCGTTTCGTCCCATTTGGAACTCGTCAGCTGGATGTACCTGCATCTCAGAGTTGTTGTTCACTCTGGGACTCGAACCCAGTACCCTCGCTTCAAACGCCATCGCGTTATCCACTCGGCCACTGAGTCCTGATAGCCACTTGCTTGTGCGATGGGGTGAATTTAAATTTCACTATCCATCTATGCTTACCATGCTTGTAAATCAAGGCTATATCGAGGCAATACGGAGAGTATGCACATATGCCAATTAGAGACTGATCAGTTGCAGTCCTAACACATCGATGGGAAGATTCAAGCAAACAATGCTAAGTGAACTTATATTCTATTTTGTTTGGTAATCCTAAATTCATATGCTTTAAACGATGTACTTTGCCATTCACGTGGCCAATTTTCCGATTATTAATTTGGATATATATAATTGTGGAACCTGAAGAGAACTTATCAAAAAGAATATTCTTCTTCTAATTGACAAAAATAATTTTAATGGTTGAATTCATGATTCGATCTAAGCTAGACCATAATCGAACATGACCATTTCATCCTAGTATGGGACTCCCCACCAATGTACATCCACGATCTTTCACGTGGGACTCGAACCTAGGACCTTTGATTTCACTTGCGATGTCTTAACCCTTTAGACCACTGAGCTGGCTTTGATCGACTGATGAATTGATCAATTAAACTTACTTCAATCTTCACAAATCTTCATTCTGTTAAAAATGGTTGTATTTATTATAAGTTTAATTGTTTATGTATAATATCCATAACGAATGATTTAAAATAGAACAGATTAAAATAATAAATCAAACTAGAATGATACAATTCTAATATAAATCAATTGAGAATAAACACACTGGTATATTAAACTATAATGATACACATATTTACTATTCACTTATTTATACTATAAATTAAACTAACCAACTGCCCTGGTACGACCGAGAGTAGAGAGAGTTCGCTCTCTCTTTCGAAATGCTCTCACATGGCCACGCGTATACACCCTCTGTCAGGGAAGTCCTACTCACTGCCTTCTCGCACCACGTGTGTTGTTTACAAAATTGAGAGGATGAAAAACGAATGTCTGGCGCTTCAACTGGGTTGGTGAACACAGGGGAGTCGAAAAACCTTGATTCCAAAAAGAATGGTGCACATGATCTCCAGTATCCTGAAGGAACAAATGGCATATGAATCAATCGTTCGTCACTAGCTACCATGGGACTGAATCTCCTCACGATGCTCCACTGCCTTGTGGGCTAGACCTTCAGGTCAAAGGCTCGAGGTGTGGCCCCCTAAGAAAACCACCTACTTCAGTTTGGGCACCCGGGCAGTATCACAGCCCTCTACCAAAGTGTGGCGCATATATACCCGGTGCCCCCTTGTACCAATATTTATGTGTTTAAATAAATAAATAAATCTTTAGGCTATACGTTGTGTTGTCAAAATTATTAGCATAGATATAAGGCGGTGAATAGCTTAAATGCAAAGCTTGTATATTCTACAATCATCTATTTTTTCAAGTGACATTTAATCAAATTTATTTCTGTGGTAAATATTTTGTATATACGTGTATCATTTTCTCTAGACAAAAAAATTTTCTTCTTGGCTAACTGTGTTATATTTTGACATTAGTTTATGTTAGAGCTTACGTCAGTAACTTGATTACCCTAGCAACCATTAATCAACAATGTTGTAAATCGTTGTTCTTTATCATTCGATCAAGATTTTATTCATACTTAAGACGTTCATCATATAATTCCAAAATCTCCATTTATCTTAACATTCGAATTATACTGTTAGAAACCGTATAGCGATGAAGTTAGCATTGAAATGATTATTGTACTACGTTTAACAAAGAATCTGTGAATTTGTATATTTTATAGTTGAAATCATGAGTCAGTTGAAGCTAGACGACCATGGAAAATCTGGAAGCACTGGAAGGCCGTTTCGTCCTATTGTGGGACTAACTCCTCAGCAGTGCGCATCCACGATTTCGCCCCGTGAGATTTCAACCCAGGATGTATCACTCTTGCGCTCGAACGCCTAATCACTAGACCACTGAGCCGGTTGGCATCCAACGGTGTTATCACTTTATCATTGATATAGATATTTCGCATAGAAAGCAACTTTCAATCAGACAAAAACTTGCAATATATCACTATCTATCTACTATAATGAGTATGTAAACTGTTCACATAAAAACTACACTAGACTTTTAAAGCAAACACATATATGTATATTTATTACTCTATTTGACATTTAGACAGGAAAGTTCTGATAGTTATTACGATAACATTCCTTCATACTTTTTCATAACTTTAATATAAACTGTTTAATATCATCCAAAAAAGTATACGAATTGTATAAATAGAAGTGTGTAGCCTTAACATTTCTAAGAGAAGTTATACTTTAGATTGTATTCAGGGTTTACAAACGAATTATGAATCTAATACTAACGAAATATTGTGTTAGAGATAAGAATAATAATAAGTAGTTCAGTACAACAAAATACAATTTCATTTTAAATGTGTGAGGGCTATGATACTCTTCGGGTGATCAGAACGAAGGAGATGGTTTAATTAGTGGGCCACATCCGGAGCTTTCGACCTAAAGGTGTGATCCACAACTCAGTGGAGCATCGTGAGGAGATGCAGTCTCATGGTAGTCAGTGACCAATAATTCGTTCATGCACCGTTTGTTCTTTTAGGATTACTGGAGATCATGTACACCATCGGTTTGGAATCAGTGTTTTCCAATTCCCCTAGTTGGACTCTCTGTATCCACCGACCTGGTTAAAGCGCCCAAATATTTGCTTTTCGTCCGATCAATTTCGTAGACTTAACCCTGCCTCGAAAAGGCGGTGAGTAGGACTTCCGTGACAGAGGCTGTATACGAGTAGCTGTATGAGAGCATTTCGAGAGACAGAGAGCTCTCCTCACTCTCGGCTGTACCAGGGCCTTTGGGGGCTCTGAGCTAAGTGTGTAGGTACAGACTACCAGGTCAGGGTAGCCAGATGGATCAAATCTTTCAAGATGTTGGGTGACATGATACAATAGCACAGAAACATTCATTCTTTATTCTTTAATTAAGTGGTCTACTACCCCCACACCTAATACGGTGAAACTTAAGGTTTTATAAGTGACTTTTTAAAAAAAAAAATGAAACAATCATATAAACTTTAAGATTATACTGAAGAATAAAACTCACTCACAAGTAACAGTCATGTGAGAAATCGTAACCAATGGAGTAAAAATATGCCAGACATGAAAGAGATATCATCATCGGTGACATTGTTTATTTGTGCAATATCAAAGGTTGTCTTGAGTTTGAAATATTAATCAAAATATTCGAGCTCAGGGATCTAAAGTTAGATCACTAGCTATATAACCCAAACGACATTGGGTACGAACCTTGGTAGCACTATTTTGAATCATAATATTAAGACGAAACAATTGTTCAGCGCCTTCTGATTCTCAATGTCTTGCAGGCGGTTATATGAATTCACTAAGCATTAATATTGAAACTGATCTTTGAATGCGTTCAAATGTTTTCTAAGTTGAAAAGGGAGTTTGTGGAGATTTTAGTAAATTTTATAGTTGAAATCGTGTGTCAGTTGAAGCTAGACCACCATGGAAAATCTATTGTGAGACTCCTCAGCAGTGAGCATCCACGATCCCTCCTCGCGAGATTCCAACCCAGGACCTT